TAAAGTGAGAATCGACACTGATTTTTCAACTATCGCGCCAATGAAAGTTGACGTTCTACGAGGGAGTATCCTAGGTGAAATCTTCTTCACCATTTACAACACCAATCCTAAACCAGCCATAGAAGAATCCAACATCTAAACATCATTACCGACTGGTGCACTCGATGGATCGTTAACGAGCAAAAAACCAACAAGTCGTTTACGCTCAAATGTCAAACCTGCCCATCAGTGCTTATTAACCAAGTCCGTTACTTTGGGTTTCACTTAGATAGCAGACTTACACGGTACTGTATACAAGATTAACAACAAGAACTTAACAAAACATACGGACTAATCACTAATCATCAACCGGGACTTACAAAGTCGAACTGCGGGACGCGTCCAAAACCTCCAAAACCCAATGAAATCAATCTTTTCTAACTAAAGTTCTCCTCCGTATTCTTTTACGTCACCAATGAAATGAACCATAAAGACCTTAAAACCCAAGTCGTGAATGATCTGATCAGCTTCTTCAATTTCAACTCTAAATTATCCCTGGATCCCACTAGCCCAAACGCTTTCCTCATCCCACGTAATAATCCTCTACGCTGTTTAAAACGACGATGGCCTCGTGACCTTCTACCTTAACCATTCCAATTAAATAAAAGAGACTTCCAGCACTGAGTAATTTCTCTCCGCACTGTCTCTTGGTCTGACTGATCCGTCAGATTTGTATATAACTAGACTATCTGTTCTACACTGACAGGCAAAAAATTCCACCTAATTTTTCATTTTCTCGATGAAACAAAAATATTTTCATCTTTGTTTCCTTAATTTCAATTTTTAAACTTAAAAATGCCACTTAGTGCTTAGGATGTTGCGCGTGGTTGTGGCACTTATTGATGGTGAACGTTCCATCAGGTATGCGGTTATTGCCATCAGTGTTCCCTACGAAAAACTGCAAGACGCTGTTGGAGTATAAACACGTTTCATGTATTAGGTTAGTCTGCTTAGACGAAGGTTGAGTTTTTGTTATAAATTTAATTCTATAAACAGTACATCTGTTGCAAAATGTAAAAAGGAAAGCGGCTTTAAAAAAGAACGTGTACTTACAAAGGTTTTGATATACCAAAAATCAAGTGAAATATTTAAATAAAACATATAAAAAACATTGGTAAGGGACCAATGTGGTCATTTTTCTACGTCTTTGCCAGGTCTCCTTTGGCTAATTATAAAAGCAGAATTCTCAGTTACGTAATTTGTACAATGGATAATTTTTTGGCTACCTTCGTCTAACATTGCTGTTCAAGAAATTGGAAAAAAAAGGTCAGATTTAGCTGAACTTATTATTATTTCTATGCATGCGGAAACAAGGCATTTTGACATTTTTGAGGTTATTGGGCCATATAAAATAGTGTTTCAAGGCCTCTTGTTTTTAAAGGTCAAATGTAAAAATAATAGTGTCGAAATCGACGGCCGGGTCTGTGTTGTTTGGGCCAATTTTTCCACCTAGCAACTATCTCTAAGCTTTATAGATCATTTAATCAACTTACAACACTTACCCATTAGCTGGATTGATTACTTGCTTTTGGACATATTAAAATTAACAAAAAAAAAGTTGCACTTAGAATTTATTAAAATACTGAACCTTGATCATTTTGTTCATATCAACCTTGATGATTTTGTTCTAAAAAACATGTATCACTTTTGTGAATGTGGCTAAAAATGGACATCCTTACGTGTTTTTTAGATATATGCTAACCAAGACATCATCATCAATAAAGCCTATTTTTCTGTTAGACGTTTTGGGGCGAGTGGTTTCAATAACAAGTATCCGAGTCCGTTGATCTATTATTGATTCTCTCTGTTGTATATTTTTATTTATTCACAATACATGAAAGGCTGCTTTAACATTTATTGATATTTGAATAATATATTTTTATACTCGTTTTTATCTACGCTTGAATTACTAATATAAACGATGGAAGGGAATGGATGGAATGAAAGAACTGGCTTTTTTTGTGTCTATATCCTTGATAGGGTAACAATCCGATTTCTTAATTATTTTAATAAACCTGCCTTTTATTTCAAAAATCTATGTAATTCCCTTTGTGGGAATGTATAAACAATGGTATCAATTTGAGAAGTAGCCATTGTAATGAAACAATTAACAGGAGTGAAAGAACTTGAGAGAGAAATGGCTCTAATTCATTTTCCAGGCAGGATTAAAGGTTCAGATAATCTCAGCTAACGTGGATGATCTTTTCGGCCTGTAAATCTGGTGAAATTGAGTCTGAAATTCAGTTTTGTCCTTTCCAGGGTGTCGTGACATTAATTATAAATATTCGAAACTATCGTGACCGACTGCTCGCAACCCAAACCCCATTTTAAGCCCGAAGCGTTTCTCAACTATTGTCTCACGGTTTGATTTTATTTTCAAATTTCAACTTAACTAAATATTACTCACAAACCGATGAAATCGAGATCTGTAATGATAGAAATAAATTAAGCATAATACTGCTACCGACCGCTCCGAGGGTGTTGTCTTGAGTGTGTGACGTCTGAGGAGAAAGTTATTAGCGAGAGCGGAGTAGGTACTCGTGTCTTTAACCAGACTTCTATGTTTATATCTGGTGTTGTATTTAGGTTAATTTATTGGAATGAAAGTAATTTATTAGCGAGAATGGAGTTGGGTTCGACCCCGCCCCGAGGAATTGAGGACTCTGGGGGAGTGAATGTGACCAGACTTATATGTTTTTATCGGGTGTCGTATTTGAGTTAATTTATTGGAATGAAAGTAATTTATTAGCGCGAATAGAAGGATTTATTTAACCCCGACGCGAGGAATATCGGGCACACTGAGGTGTGTGTGTGTGTGACATCTGGGGATTAAAAGTAAGTTATTAGCGTGAATGGAGTAGGGTTCGACCTCACAAGAAAGTCCGAAGTATTTGTGTGTCGCATCTATTGGTGTACATTTCAGTTTTTCTCTAAAGTCCAGTACATTAGGCAAAACGAACTTATAAAGGATTCGACCCCGTCCCAGGAATATCGAGGACTCTGGGGGAGTGAATGTGACCTGGCTTCTATGTTTGTATCGAGTGTTGTGTTTATGTTAATTTATTGGAATGAAAGTAATTTATTAGCGCGAATAGAAGGAGTTATTTCATCCCGGCGCGAGGAACATCGGGCACACTGAGGTGAGTGTGCGACGTCTGGGAAGTTATTAGCATGAATGGAGTAGGGTTCGACCCCGTCCCTGGAATATCGAGGAGTCTGAGGGAGTGAATGTGACCTGGCTTCTGTGTTTGTATCGGGTGTTGTGTTTATGTTAATTTATTGGTATGAGTTAATTTATTAGCGGGAATTGAGTGGGTTCGACCCCGTCCCAGGAATATCGAGGACTTTGGGGGGAGTGAATGCGACCATTCTTCTATGTTTTTATCGGGTGTTGTGTTTATGTTAATTTATCGGAATGAAGTAATTTATTAGCGTGAAAGGAAGGGGGCTCTTTAACCCCGAGGAATATCGGGTACTTTAGAGAATGTGACCACTTGTATGTTCCTGGTGATGTGTAACCAAATCGAGACACTCAAATAGCTGCAGTCTAAAACAAAATAAGCGTAGAAGACCAGAAAAAGAAGAAAAACACGCATAGGGCCGGCGATGACCTCAGTTGTTTGTCGGCCCACAAACCACCTACATTTTAATATAGAAATTGCTATCAAAACTAAGAGAAAAATTATTCTGCACGCACCTTTCACGATTAGTTTGATTTCTCTTGATTACCGGATAGAACAGGACAAAAATGTGATTTTTCGAGTTTTATCAGGCCAATTAGGTTTAATTTTTCCGACAAGAGAAAGATGCAAGTCGACCAGTAAGGCCAAATCTTCACGGCATTCGTTGACGATCCCGTTAGGAAGCCAATGTGCCAGAACAGATTGCCAAATTTTCTCAAAGGAAGATAAAGCCCAAGAAAGCTGGCACTGAATCTTAAAGCCACCGGCTTTCTATTAAACGAATCAATTAAGTAAAATTGTTGCAGAAACTCAAAAGATGAAAAGATGAGGAATAACGAAATCGCCTGCAATATCTCAGCTGGATACGCGGATAACATTTTCTCAAAATGATTTAGAGATTAATAATGAAAAAAAAAAATTATGGACCGGATATGAGGTGCTTTTCCTGATATTGTTACAAAAAAGAATCTTTGAAGTAGCCCCAGAAGCAATTTTTATTATTTACTGTACTTAATTAAAATTTATCAATCAAATATATTTCTAAAACATGATTCCTATGTAATTATAATAAAATCTTTGTTAGAATTATATATACATCAAATACACATAACACAATTTGGAGACAACAGAACTTACAGTTATCTGGACTATTCAAAGAGCCCCCATGGACAATACCTTCCTTATCTTTTAAATATTTGTTTTTAAATAAAAGAAGGTGGTGAATAAAGGGAAGTTTGTGTCCGAGTGGATCGATGTCACTATAGCTCAAGTGGTAGAGCAGCGGCGTATTTAGCCGAAGGTCGTGGGTTCGAATCCCGCTCGTGACACTGACTTTTTCATTTCAACCAATACCTTACATAAACATTAATTAATTGAAAAAAGTTCTTCGGTCAATCGTACCACGAACTCTAATGGATTTATTATCACTATTGTTGACAGTTGGTATATCTTTTTGAAGGTCTGATTCAATGTTTTCAATAATAACTTATATGTAAATATGCTCCTAAACTAAATCATTAAATTGGCTACAGCCCGTGCTATTTGTGTTTTAAGTTATTGTGCATTTGCCATTTAACTTTTTTTTGTGTAAGATCTTTTGGAACGTAAATAATAATAAACACTTTTCTATTCTATTCTTCTGTTCTTTAACTACAATATTTTATATACTATACTAACTATACTACTACCTACTATACACAACGTATATTTTTTGTATATATAGCAATAAATGAAATAAATTTAATAAAACGTTTCTTAACAATTTTTTTGTTGTTGCAGTGTTGTTTGTATGCGACGTCTCGGATAACTACAGGACAACTTGAGGTAATTAATCTTTATTATGTACTGTCGATGAAATGATTTTTGTTCTAAATTTTTGTCAATTTTATGGAGTTTTTCAAGGCAGTAATTTTCTAAATTGAACTTAAACCTATAGGTTCAATATTAATTATTAAAATAAAATACTAACTCACTTTTTGTGGATTGTAAATTCTGAAATAATACAAGTTAACACGATTAATTTCATAAGTTTTCATTTTTCTCCAAGAAGTTTGCTAGCATGTCGGAAATAATCTATTCAAAATGGTTTCCCTTATTGATTCAGTTGTACAGTCACCATTAACCTAGTTTGGTGATTAACAAAAATAAACCATTTTTATTTTACAATATTCAATTAAAGAAATACTAATTTTATACAAACATACGAGTTTCCTTGGGTTTTCGTGAAACTTTTTCGAGGCTGGAAATATTGCGTGTTCTCAGGTCAAAAAAACAAGTCGTAATTAATTTTAAAACAACATCCAGTTGTTTCATATTGGATCTTTTCCTTTTGAAAAATCTACCTCGTTGTAAACTGAAATTGCGAAAGGGCGAAATGGGAAAAGCCAGCCCCTGGGTAATTTACGAAATTGAAAGAAAAGTGCGCTTAAAAACGCTTTGTAAGTGCCGAGAGCGCTGAGTGTTATTACCATCCGAAAAGGAAGTTGGTTTAATTCCAAAAAAATTCTTTTCTCCGTTTTATTCCGTTCGGCCGAATACAGATAGTACCTAGATAGTAGTAGATAGTAAAAGTCTCTCACCACAAAAATATATATTTTGGTTTTGGCTTTATTGTTAATGAAAACACTTCCATAAAAACTTTCAGATGCGTTTCTACTTTAACTAACTATTAAATAGATTGATTTATTCAACAGAAAAAACGTGCATTCGGTAATTTTCAAGTGAAATGGGTTAACTTTTCTCTTGAGACGCTGTATAATTGTCGCTGGCTTTCACATACGAATGATTAATGCCATAACCAACGAGATTGCACGGCTGGGGCAGAGTTTGTGTTAATAATAAATAAAAAACTTTTCCAATTAAAATATGACAACAGCTATAAGTTCAATCTTTATGTAAGGTATTGGTTGAGATAAAAAAGTCAGGGTCACCAGCGGGATTCGAACCCACAACCCTCGGCTAAATACGCGGCTGCTCTAACACTTGTGACTTTCACGATAGCTCAAGTGGTAGAACAGCGGCGTAAGCCGAAGGTCGTGGGTTTGAATCCCGCTCGTGACACTGACTTTTTTATCTCAACCAATACCTTACATAAAGATTAATTAATTGAAAAAAGTTATTCAGTCAATCGGACCACGAACAAAAATGGATTTAATCTGCGACAAGTTTTGTAAACTAGGTCGAAAATTTATTTTCAATTCTATTACGCTCGCTAGTGCTGTGAAAAAAGAAGAAATTTGTGTTGTGGGTTTCGGAAACCTTCAAAACCTTTGTGTATGAAAATTTGGCTAATTGGTTTTTCCACGCTGAAAATTTAGACCACAAATCAAAACATCAAAGAAGACATGTAATTTTCCAATATTAATTTATTCTTCTAATGTTAATAAATGTAGAGAGAAATTGGACTTAATAATTGTCCTTAATTAATCGATTTTGAGTAATTAGTCATGCAAAATCTACTTTAGAGAAATGGATATCGAAGAAGAGTACTGTATCGACCTGGACTTTTTAATTGTAATCCTTTAAATATTTAGCAACTCGCTATCTCGTAATATAAAGAAGATCGACTCGGTCATTTATTTTGTTGATGACTGGACTTTAATTTGCTAAAAGAAAATTCACTACTACTCAATACTTTTTTCAAATTTGTAGCCCATACATATCACAAATGTTTTTCCAGACAGCACACACAAACACTAATGCTAGCGCTGCACAGTGTAAGTGATTAAGGTGCAAGGAAGTCTCAAGGCCATCGTTGAATTTAAAGGCGACGTGGCGGGGGATGGGGATGCTGAGGTCATTGTTGATAGAAAGGAGCATAGTCCATCTGTATGATGATTTTTGATTGGATGGGCTGGTTGTTGGATTGCTTGGCAGAAGCCCCTCAAGTTCTGGAGTGCACAGTTCGTATGCCCAGAGGACTCCCATTGAAGTCCTATATAAGTTTAGTTTTGATTGCCAACGTAGAATTTCAGTCCTTAGTGACTGATTGTCCGGTGCTAACGGTCAGGTGCACAATGTCGACCCACCCGCTCAGAAGGGGTAAGCGGGAGAAGTTATCTTAGTCCATAGGGGATCGGGGAAGCTTCTACCGCGAACCTTACGGGCATGACCAAAGAGCTTGCAGTGAAGTCCTGTATAAGTTTAGTTTTGACTGCCAACATAGAATTTCAGTCCTTAGTGACTGATTGTCCGGTGCTAACGGTCAGGTGCACAATGTCGACCCACAGCTCAGAAGGGGCAAGCGGGAAAAGTTACTTTAGTCCATGGGGGACCAGGGTAGCTCCTACCTCGAACCTTACGGGTATGCCCAAAGGACTCGTAGTGAAGTCCTGTATAAGTTTAGTTTTGACTGCCAACATAGAATTTCAGTCCTTAGTGACTGGTTGTCCAAGTGATAACGGTCGGGAGCACAATGTCAACCCACCGCTCAGAAAGGGCAATCGGGAGAAGTTACCTTAGTCCATGGGGGACTAGGGTAGCTTCTACAGCGAACCTTACGGGAGTAACACAGACTCCTACGCGGAGGTGCGACGCTCCTACTTTGAAATTAAACGTCTGATGAGGCCACGTGCTAGATCAGAAGTTAGAGAACATCATTGTCTTTCTGAACACAACGCGACCCCCAAAGGGAACCAAATGTCAAAATAAAATTCGGTCCTAGAAGTCTTCGTAATTTTCTTCTGGTTAAGTCTTGGTGTGGGGATGCCAGTCTGCTGCGTAGGTATTATCTTAAGTATTTGACTTAAATCAAAGTTGGTATCCATTTGTTGTTGATATACAATGAAGGGCAAGATGTTTTTTCAATACGTACAATGTTTTTCTTCATTCAGTTTTCTTATCCACTTTTTGCACCAGTCTTTGATAAGCTCAAGGTGTTCTTGAACGATGGACTAGCTTGGAGCCCTTCCAAAGGATACAGCCCTGCCTTACGCCTGATTCCACGTGAAACCAGTCTGAAGCTCCTGTTTTCCCCCCGCACTGATGAGGTGCTATTGTCGTAAGCGGACTTAATTATAGGGATTAATTTAGAAGATATGCCAATGTTACAAAATTTTAATATCAATGCTTGCCTGTCCACAGCAGTATGGATAAAGTTGAGATTGAGAATGGTCAGAAGACACAATTGTGAAGCTACACAATAATTATTTATAATATATGGAGATAAGGATAACGAGATACCTTCGTTTCCAATAAAATTAACAAGACCAGAAATCTTGGGTCCAAGGGCTACGCCGGTGCCATGCCTACTCGCTCCCTGTACGGGTCAAGCCACTCAGGGAGCGCACTCCTCGACTAAATGTGACAGATCGAGCAATCTTTAGCTCTTAAATTAGCTCTAGTCTAAACAATATTGGAAAATTTGAGTTCACCGTGTTCCAACTTCGGTTTTTTTCGTATCAGTCTTATATTACAGACGAACTAATCCGGTCCAGATTCCAAACCTTCCACACCAACCTTTCGAACCATCCTAACCATACTGCTGGAACCCTCTCCACTCATTCCCATCCTGACAACCCACCTCGTCGCCTCAACCGACGATGGCCTCGGGACCTCCTTGACCCCTAACCATACACAATGAGTGCCAGCAACTGCTGGCTCCTCAAAGCATGTGCTCTACCGGTGCAGTGCTGCCATTAGTGCTAGTGTTGTGCTTTGTGATAAGTTAATCATGTGTACATATTTGTATAGTATCATGTATAGGTAACAAATATATTTAAAAAAAATTACAGAAGCTACGTAACTCTACCATACGTTTTCCTTCTAATTATAATTGTGTCTAGGTTTTTTCCTATTAGATTTTTATCCTTATCTCGAGGTATGCTTTTATATCCTGCCAATTAAAATTTCGTTCAAACGTCCGAGGCATTCTTGTTATCTCGATTGCGCACGTTGCGTCACGAAGAGGTTTTGAAAACATGAAAACTATGCGCAAAGAATCGGCGTAAAATGTGAAAATTAGAGGGTGAAAAAAAAAAACTCCGAAGGATTTATGTTAACTGGATCTTAGGAAGGATAAAAGGTTCCGTTTTCTCTTCTCTATGAGGTCCGAAAGTGAAACCGCTATTCTTAACACAACTTTCTTCCACGTGTAACGTAATATTAAGGACTGAAAACGTTGCCTGGAGGGGGCAGGAAGTGGAATGAAACGGATTTCTTTCAATTTAGCCAAAACCCGGTTTATAATAACGAGGAAAAGAAGAAAAAAATATCACAGAAGTTGGCAATATTTGTACAGGACGTAGCCCACGCTGACTCCACGTGAGGTAGTTCCAGACTACGATAAGATGAAAAATGTTACGATTTAATTAAAAAAACAGATACACAAAATGATTCGACTTTTAATCGACTCTATTTAATATTATGTTTGTCTTATCTCGAATGACACGCTTCAATTAAAATCCATTCCAGATTTAAATGGTAGCTTTATTTTCTCTGATGGAAAATGATTTCCTTTCAATGATATTTCTATATAAAAACAGTATAATATTGTAGTTGTATTTCTAACGCGATTAATTACTTAAAAGTACAATCGAAATGATTTTTTTATATATTTTCCAACTGCTTTATCACATTTTATTGACAAATAGTGTTTCGGAAATCATACATATAAATTTGTTGTTCAAACAGGAAATTACAAACGAGATTCGATAAGACAATATGATAACTACACATAAGTTGCGCAAAGTTGAGGCTTAATTAATTAATTTTACTACCATTATTGGTTAATGCTATCTGATGTTTTTGATCAAGATTGTTTAGAAATATTATTATTAAGAATCGTCAGATAAACAAATCTATCCTATATAGTACTTTTCTCTGTT